GATGCCTTCATCCGGTGGATATAATTATAGAATGATTTCTTTCTCAGTCTTTATATCTTTCTTTAAATACATGGTCAGTTGTTTGGGGGCTCTATTTGTTTGTTTTTCAATTTTGCTGTGTTTGTTTGAGGTCTGCCTTCCCCAGACACTGAATAATTGTTGTAACTCTTTGCTGAATCATGTCCAGTTTTTGGCATTTGTTTTAACATGTGGACAACAGAAAAGGACGCAGTGTTCCAGGAACAGCCCGCCCAGGAGGCGTGTGCAGAGGTGATACAATCTCCTTCTGCTGCCCAGTGTTGTCTTGTTTATACGTCCAAGAATCCTGCCAGACCCTCTTGCCAGAGCTTTACCTGTGCTGATCATGTTCAGCTTGTGAAGAACAGACAAGTTTTAGCACATTGATCCTTTTACAGTGGCTATTCTCTTTGCTATTGCTAGTATTGTTTAGTGTTAGGTATTATATTGTGAATAAAGTTCAGTTCGCAGCACATTTTTTTCCCATTGCTTATCAAATGAAATTGTAAGACTAATCTTTTGATGACATAATGATTTCCGTGACAGTGAGTTATTGCAAAAATTACAGAATAGCAAGCTTGCCCATTATAAAGCACAATTTGCTGTAGAAGGCACAAGGTATCTATGAATTAGGAGAAAACTTGAAGTAATTCCTTTTGGATTGCATTTTTCTCCTGACTTGTTCAGTTTAAATCCCTCACAGAGATTAAATAATTAAACTACCTTGTATTTTTTGACAGGCACAGTCACTGGCTTCATTTTTATCTACTCGACAACTATTGCGAATTTGTCGTCGACTGTCACAACATCCAGATGAAAGCCTTTACGATGCTGTTAATAAAGCCTGCCTTTCCAGGTACTGCTGCTAGTTTTGATGGACGTTCAAGAGCTTCTTGGTCAGTTGCTGACATGCAAGATAGCTTTTAATGCATTTTAGTGGGTAATACAATTTCTGTCTTGCTTCTTGAAGTCTGTAATTTCTTTAAAAGTATTTCTGTGGTATTCTTAAACCTGGCAGGTAAGTAGAAAGGACTTTGTACTCTTTTGTCACCTTTATGAAGATACTTCATTACATTATACAGATCAAGTCACCATTATAGCGTTATTTCACTGTCTCAAAACACTCAAAAGCAGAGCTGTGTTAATGTCTAGTATGACTGATGTTTCATGGAGTTTCATGGTTTGAGTTCTAAAAGCCATATCTAGAAAAGGTATGAACATCTAGGGGTTTGTTTGGTTTGGGTTTTTGTTTGTGGGTTTTGTGGTTTGTTTTTCTTTTCCTTTCTTCCAAAGGAAACAAATTGGTATTATCAAAGGGTTTGGAAAACTGGAAGGGTCTAGTTCTGCACACCTCAGAGCTCACTCTTCTCTTTGGAACCTGAGGTCCAAGTGAACTGAGTCAAGAGAAAAGGCATTTCCAAAAAAATTATTGTTTCTATTGTAGCTTTTACTGGCAGTAGAATGAGGACATTAGATACCTGCAGCCCTAATTCATCCTACATTACAACCCTGTTGCAATATTTTATGATACTGAATGAAGCCTTTTAAAACAAGCACACATCCAAAACTGTGTAGTTCATTGCGTATGGAAGAAGCTTAATTCCTCTCCTTAGGAATAGGTGAAATATGGAAGACTGAAAGTGAAAAGAGTAGACATTTGGGGTTTGAAGGTGCAAGTAAATCTTCATACTGATTTTAGATTACAGAAAATATGGAGTACATTAAGAAAACCCAAAACCTTAGAAATGCAGCCTCCCTATTATTCCTCTCCTTTTAGGTTTTTGCCAAACCTCGCCAGATCAGCTTTACATAAAAATCTGAAGGATTCTGGTATTGAAACGAGTCCAGATGACACAAAGAAACTAGAGGACAAGGATTACACATGTAAGCTTCTGCCATCTTTTCTCCTGCTCTTCATGAACATTACTCAGATTGTTGAACATACAAAGGTGTATTAATTATCCTAAAATTAATGCAATTTGTTTCATTTACCTCTCTTTGACTTTCTCTATCAGAATGCCTTGCTGCTCTCAGTGTTTTGATACTATTATATTGTCTGCTGTATTCCCAGCTCATAGAATTTTGTTCTTCATCATGTTTAAGTGCTTCCCAGTCTATAAGATCAATGGTCCTAGGCTTTCTTGTACTGCTTTATCTTTTCTTTTCTCTTCATCACTGATAGCTACAGTTACAGCCTTGTTTGTTCTTAATATTTCTCTGTTCTGTTTTTTTCGCTATTGCTTCTTTCCCCTGTTAAAATCAACCTTTTTCTCACTGAGACTCTTGTAAAGTCTTGGGCTATGATTTGCTTTCATTCTGGCTCACACTCCTTTGTAAGTTTCCCTTCTTTTTTATTCTCTTTAAATTGCTGTGATTGTTACATGTCACCTTTATTGAGCAGGTCTTTTTTTCTTTAGCTCATCCAACTTGTACTCATTTGTAGTAGCCTTCAGGTCTATTCAAAGATTTTTACTTCTGCTGTTTTTCTTGATTCTACTTTCTCATTCCTCTATGACCCCCTTATGCTAGGTGTATATATTTTCATGTCTTCTGTCAGGCAGCACTTTGAGCAATTTGCCATTTTTCATTCACTAAATTTTTCATTTGCTTCACCAGCAGCATCTCTGCTGTTGTTTCTTTCTTTGTATGTTCATTCTCAGTCTTGTGATGTATTTGACGTCTGAGTTTTTACTATTAGGTCTTAGCAGTGGTAAACACATTTTGGTTTCAATTCATGCAGATTCTATTTTTATAGATTTCTTTGTGTGTGTGTATATATAAAAGTATAAATGTAAATACAGATATATTAATGTATGTATTATTGTTTCTATTATATACAGTATAATATATAAGATCAGCCATATGTATATACATGTATTTGTATGTAGACATATGCAGACATCCATGTATTATTATCACTTATTTCCATTTTTATGTATCTATAAACTACATATATATAAAAAATAATTTGATCTCTTGCCAGTTCTGTGATGCTACCTGCTTACCATTATTTTTATCTGTACACATCCCTTGAGTTTTCTGTGTTTCTCTGTTTCCTGCCATAAAGGTGAACAACTAAAAACATCTGTCCAGAAATAAAATTATTTTCAGTTTTGCACCATACCAGATTAAGAAATTAGTAGCAAAAAAATTATTACTGTTTTTATTGCATATATGATTATTTGCACTTAGTTGTTATTTTCCTAAGGACAGAATTTATAGTTCTTTTGATCTAAGAAATTTTTCTAATGTACTTTTTCCTCTCAGAGCTGTAGTTGAAGGTTATATCAACTAGCGCAAATTTAACCAGTGTTCACCAAAATTATAAATGTGCCATGTTCTGGCATTACCCCATTTGAGGAGAAATGCAATGCTAAAGGGAGAATCAACAGTGGTCCTCTATTATTGTAGTGGATTGGCTCCTGCTCGCAGCTGAGTATCCACACAGCTCTAGTTTGCTCACCTCCACACTTCACTCTGCAGTGGGACAGGGAGAGAGAGCAGGACAAGGCCAATGGCATCCTGGCCTGGATCAGGAACAGCATGGTCAGCAGGACCAGGGAGATGATTCTGCCCCTGTATTCTCATTGATGAGGCCACACCTTGAGTACTGTGTACAGCTCTGGGCCCCTCAGTTCAGGAAGGACATTGAGGTGCTGGAGCAGGTCCAGAGAAGGGCAACGATGCTGGTGAAGGGTCCTGTGAGGAGAAGCTTAAAGATTTGGGGTTGTTTAGCCTGGAGAAGAGGAGGCTCAGGGGAGACCTTATCACACTCTATAACTACCTGAAAGGAGGTTGGAGTCGGGTGGGGGTTGGTCTCTTCTCCCACGCAACCAGCAGGAGGACAAGAGGGCACAGACTCAAGCTCTGCCAGGGGAGGTTTAGGTTAGATATTAGGAAGAGATTTTTTATGTAGAGAGTAGTCAGGCATTGGAATGAGCTGCCCAGGGAGGTGGTGGATTCACCATCCCTGGAGGTTTTCAAGATGAGACTGGATGTGGCACTTAGTGCCATGGTCTAGTAATGACGGTAGTGTTGTACTCAGTGGTCTTTGAGATCTCTTCCAACCTGATTGATTCTATGATTCTATGAATGAGAGTGAGAAAACTTGTGGGTTGAGGAAATGTGGCCTAACAATATTGGTGATATTCCAATCATACAATGAGATGGTAAAATTAAACCAAGGCAGCAGTCAGAACTTCTAGTGTTTCTTATGGTACTTTTCCCATAAGATCACCTATTGAATATTTATTGTAATACACTTCTTTGTAGTTTTAAAGAGAATTTAAATTCATAATGATACAACCTCTACTTCATGGATACTCTTCCAAGCATTTGCTTTCTTTAGATGGAAATCTTTTACTACAAAGCACAGCCTTGTTAAAATTGTAAATGTTGGGTATTGATTACATGTCTGCTAGAGGATGCTCTAAGTGCTGCATTTGCTTGTTTACACAAAAATGTCTAGGTGAAATAAACAATGGGATTCTGAAGATAGGATCTGTGACGATGCCAATTTATAATGCAGCCGAGAAAATGAAAGTGCCTGATGTTTTGTTCTATGAAAATGCACAAGTAAGTACAAATCTCTGACTTCGGAATTACAAAAATGTCTTAAATGTGTACTAATATGTATGCTCATATATATAGTAAATAATGGCTCATATGTGTAGTAAATAATGTACTAACTAAATTGTATGGCGATTTTTCTGAAGTAGTTTCTTTAGACCTAAATGTTTCTCACAGGATTTGGTGGTCATTTGAGATGTGTTTCATCCCTTTGTGAAGAGATTATAACCAATCCCGTTGAACGTTCGTAAAATATGAAGTAACAGAGATTGAAACTGAATTTTATTCAGAAATATTTGATCAGATATTGTGTTGTGTGGTTTTATTTTTGTTTTGCTGCTGTGGGACTGATCTGCTCTTAGGGCTGGATTGTCAATTGCATCCTGAGACCATTTTACAGACCTGTCACATGAAGTTTTACCTCCCTTTCGTTAGAATTTACATTGCATGTTTGAAAAGCAAGGGGAAAAGTAATTAGTAAATTAGTTATTAGCTAGGGTTATTAATGATTTAATTAGTTTCACTCATTAATTAGTCATTAATGTTATTTAGTTGGTAATAATGAAGAGTAAAAGTGGTTAGTGAACGCCAGAAAAAGGAAGGGCTTTGTGACTGTGGTTTTTTTGGTTTCTGTTTCTACAGCACCCCTTTTGTACAGGTGGGATACAACAGCTTTCCTCTCCATCTAGCATGGAAGCATCAAAACTGTCAGGCAGAAGTATCCTTAGCAAGGGATTTACCCTCTGGGTTATATTTAGAATATTTTGTTACTGAAAGGCAACACTGATAGTGTGATCTCGTGAAATATTTTTCGTTTAGGGATCTGTTGTGGGTTTATTTAATTTTCCATTCCTATTCTTTTTTACTATATCACTAGCAATTTCTCCACAGAAAGACTGTTACATGGGTATCACCTAGTGAAGGTGATGACAGGCCATGCAAGGGGAACAGATGACAGACTTCATCTTCACCACTAGTATTTCATATGAGATTTGTTCTGTGTTGCCATTTTGATATAGTACATAATTTGGGTCTGTTGGAAATGAAATCCTGAGTTCTGATAGCATTTACATCTGCAGTGCTTTTTCCATCTACTTGCTTATAGCTTCAGAAAACTATACACAACCTGTGTTCAGATATTATTTAGGGAACCTCTGTTAAAAATGCTGCAGAGAATGCCCTCCTCTCTCTCT